CTGGTCTCAAACATACAGAGACCTGACCTGCTTGCATCTGCCTCCCAAGTGTTGGGATTATAGACAAGGACCACCACCACCACCCAGTCTTGCAAATATTTTAAACTCTCCCAACCACCAAAATTTTTGTTTAAGAAAATGCCCTGTTACAGAGTAGTTGTCCCTTTCCCTTCTCTTTCAATAAAAAGGATGCTGTGGGGTTTAACCTGAGCCAACTAGGGACCGCCTAGCTACACCCTGCATTAGGGATAAAGGACAGTTTATCTTGGCCATGCATTGTGTACTAGCCAATTTGGTACCTGTAGTACTTATTTTGTTTTTTTTTTTGTTTGTTTGTTTGTTTGGTTTTTTTTTTTTTTTTTTTTTTTTTTTTTTTTTTTTTTGCTACTCTAATTTGCTACATAGACCAGACTGGCCTAGAACTCATGGAGATCTGCCAGCATTTTCCTCCCAAAGTCATGGGGACAAAAGTCTCTGCCACCATGTCCAGCCCTTCTTTGTTTGTTGTTGGGTTCTTTTTTCCTCAGTAGAGGATCAAATCCAGGGCATTCTTTTTTTTTTTTCTGGTTTTTCGAGACAAGGTTTCTCTGTGGCTTTGGAGCCTATCCTGGAACTAGCTCTTGTAGACCAGGCTGGCTTTGAACTCACAGAGATCCGCCTGCCTCTGCCTCCCGAGGGCTGGGATTAAAGGCCTGTGCCACCACTGCCCTGCCTTCTTTATACTAGGAAGGAGCTGTTCTCCACTCTCAGTATATCTGCTTGTTTTTGTTCAACAGTCTGTCTACTAAACTCATCCCTTTGGCCAGGGATGGTGGTGCATGCAGTAATGCTAACACTTAGGAGCTGGAGACAAAAGGATCTCAAATTTGAGGCCAACCCATCTCAAAGAAAAACAGAATCATGTTAGGTATTGGTGGTGCAGACCTTTAATCCCAGCACTCAAGAGGGAAAGGCAGACAGATCTCTATGAGTTCAAGGCCAGTCTGGTCTACAGAGTGAGTTCCGGGACAGAGTCCAAAGCTACTGAGAAACTCTGTCTCAAAAAAACAAAAACCAACCAAGCAAACAACCCAGACCTGGCGGTGTGTGTCTTTAATCTCAGTACTCTGTAGGAAGAGGCAGGCAGACTTCTGAGTTTCAGGTCAGCCTGATCTACATAGAAAGTTCCAAGCCAGCTAAGAATACAAAGTAAGACCTTGTCTCAAATAAATAAATAAATAAATGAAAAAAACAACAACAAAACAAAAAACCATGAGTGGGCTAGAGAGATAGCTTAGCGGTTAAGAGCACTGATTGCTTTCAGAGGAGTCAGTTTTGATTTCCAGAACTCAGAACCCACATGGCAGCTAGCTAATCACTGTCTCTAGCTCCAGTTCTTTTTCTTTTTTCTTTTTTTGGTTTTTTCAAGGCAGGGTTTCTCAGTAGCTTTGGTGCCTGTTCTGGAACTAGCTCTTGTAGATCAGGCTAGCCTCGAACTCACAGAGATCTGCCTATCTTTGCCTCCCAAGTGCTGGGATTAAAGGCGTGCGCCACAACCGCCCAGCTTCTAGCTCCAGTCTATAAGAGGATCTGATGTCCTCATCTGGTCTCTGTGGTACTGCATGCACACTGTGCACATGCATACAGATAAAACACTCATACACAAAATAACGTAAAAATGTTTTTAAAATTCAAAAAAGTTATAAACACAAAATAAAGAAGAAAACATTAAAGATAGGGATGTAGTTCAGTTGACAGAGTGCCGTGAAGCATGTGCAGAACCCTGGGAACAGTCCTCAGCACCACATGAAAAACTGGACACATGGTGCAATAATAGCTGTAATTCCAGCATTGAAGGAGCAGAACAAACTCCATTCTGAGAAAGAACTCCATTTTAGACAGGATTTAACTGGGTGGGGGGAATGCAGCCCAATAAAGTCATAAGTATTCCCAAGAAACTGTGTCTGTCTTGGTCAAAGTGACTCCACCAGGATGTCCAAACAACATCTGTTCACATCTGCTTGCTTCAAAAGTCCTTGTAAGTCAGCATGTCCTGCCTCTTATGAACTCTTTTAAGTGCTGCTATGTCTATCAATTTTTAATAAAGATAATACTATCTTTGAAAAAAAAGTCCTTGTAAGTATCTGATTAACTGCTGTTTTGACTGTTTTAAAGTTCCCCTATACCCCAACCAATGAATTCAAAAGTTGTATGCTTTCACCCAATCCCAAAACGCCAAAACTTGTGCCACCCTGCCTTGCAATTTTCCTTTTAAAGCCCCTTACCCTATAAAGCTCGGATCCTTCTCCCCCACCTGCTGTGGCAGTGTGTTGGATTACAGAGTTGCCTAACTTGTAATCAATAAACCCCAGTGTGTTTGCTTCAGATACCGGCTCTGTGGTTGTCTTGTTTGGGAGTCCCATGACATGGCCATAACAGCATATAACGGGTGAAGACCAGAGAATCAGGAGTTCAAAGTCATTCTTGACTACGAATGTAGTGTGAGGCCAACTTGGGCTCGATGGCAAAACAACAACAAAACAGATAATATTTCATAATAATCCTTTGAGGTAGGCAATGCTATATAGACTGTTTTACAAATCGTAACCCTGACACAATAACACATGAGCATGTTCACAGAAACTCAGAGTGAGGGCTGGAATTTGAAATCATAAAGTCTGAGTCCAGAGTGATCACTCTTAATCATGACAGCATTGTCTTAACATTCAAAGTAAGAAATAAGGGAAAGCTGACCATCTGTGTGGTATCCACCCCAGGGGACAGTTTTCTGGTAAGTAGCTGAGCCATGTTAGGGCAGCTTAGGGCAACGTGTTAGGATCAGGCAGAATGCTGGGACCACTAAGCTTTGAAGTATTTTTCCTTTTTCATTAGTTTGGATTTAGATTAGACTAGATTTCTGTATTACGTTGCTAGAAGCTGCTGGCCCGCACCTTTACTCCCAGCATTTGGAAAGCGAAGGCAGGCAGATTTCCGAGTTCAAAGCCAGCATGGTCTACAGAATTTCAAGACAGCCATCACTACACAGAGAAACCCTGTGGGGGTGGAGGTGGGTTTTCTGTGTTACATGCAGAAAACAAGAAATACCATAACCCTTGCTACACTGAAGCCATCTATTGCCTCCAGTTTCTTTCTCTTGCTCAATTTCCGTCCTTTTTTTCTTTTTCCCGTGGTAGTGGAGACTGAATCTCGAACCGCACGCATGCAAGTCAAAGCTGTGCCACACAGAGCTACAGATCCACTGTGTTTGTTTCATCAGTTCTGACCATTGCCTGCAGATGAGATGACACAGATTTTTTTCTAAATTCTGTTCCCCTGCCTTTCAGTATCAGTTAAAGACAAAGGCAGGGCTGGGTGGTATCCCAGGAGGCAGGGACAGGGGGATTGCTAAGAGTTCGAGACCAGCCTGGTCTACAGAGCAAGATTTACCTCCTGGCAGTTTGGCAACCAGGGAGCAATATCTCCCCTAGCTCTGGGCTGTTTAATGGCAGTAAAGCACCACCTTGGGAGCAATAGACTGAGGCCTTTTCCCAGACGTCACGTTCTAAAACATCCAGCCAGAAAAGACCTTCACTGTGGGAAATTTATTTTGATTACAGTTGGAATTTGCTTCTTATTCAAAAGAGAAAAAGATAAAGAAAATCACAAAAACCTGATCTCTGAGGCTGGGTGGTGGTGGTGGCGGCGGCACACACCTTTAAACCCAGCACTTGGGAGGCAGGCGAATCTCAAAGCAAGTTCAAAGCTAGCCTGGTCTACAGAGTGAGTTCCAGGACAGCCAGGGCTGTTGTTACACAGAGAAACCCCGTCTCAAAAACAAACAATAACAACAACCACCACTGCCCCCATCTCTGGTTTTCTGCTTCCTTCTTTCTGGCTCTAAGCTACATGATCATACAGTTTTCAGTTTCTCAGGCAGACAGGAAAAGTCAGACACTGCCAAACTTGCCCTCAACAGCAATAAGCACTTCACATCTGTGTTAGTAATCATAAAGACTGCCGCAGAGGTCCTTTCCATAAAGCATAGGGTGTCGCTATTCTTTCCCAAAAGCTTTGGCTGGGTTCTCAAAGCTTGACTCCCAAAACACTGAACATTCCGTTCCTTCAGGCTTTGTTTACATACGAGTAATTATGTACTAGACTTTAAAGTCAGACATTTATGTGTATGCATGTGTCTGCTTGTGTTCATGTGCAGCTCATGTATGTGGTGCCAGGGAGGCCAGGATGGGGTGTGCGATCTCTTGGAACTGGAGTTACAAACTGTTGTGAGCTGCCATGTGGGTGCTAGGAACCCACTCATTCTACTTAGCCTCTTCAGCTTCTGGGGCTGCCTAGTCGTCCTAGCCTAATCCTGTACATGGGTATTCTGCTGATGTCATCTGGGGCTTCTGGTGATGAACCACAGACGTTGAGTAGAAGCTGCCTGGGCCACCCCTAAAGCTGAGTCAGCCTGCCTTTCTCCAGCGCAAAGGGAAGCTAAAGAGGCCAGGTGCCAAGTCTGACATTCAGCCTGGAACACTCTCGGTGGGCCTGGTTCTGGCAGCCTTTGGCTTGATCTAAGCTGCCCACTTCCAGGCCACTTTCGAAGGCGGACACTCGGTCAGGCCGAGTGATGTGAGCGTGGGCGAATGGGGAGAAAAGCCGTTGACAGCTCCGAATTGCGTTGCTAACGTGGGCGACTGCTCGGGTATGGCCAGAGCTCCCTAGGCTGCAGCTCCAAGTGCCACCTGCAGCCTCCCGGACAAAGCTGTCGCGCGACCAGAACTACAACTCCCGGCGTGCTCTGCGCCGCGGCCTGGCCGGGGTGACCCGGCAAACACTGCGCCGGCCGGCCTGACATCGGTGAGCCGCACTGGGTGGGCTCCGCGCCCGCAAGGGGACCCCGGTAGGGTCCAGGTCTTCCCGGAGGGCTTCTCTCACTATCACCTGCCTGAGACTCGGTGCCCACGAACGAAAGACAGCTGCCTATACGCTAAGCAGCGCCAATCACAAAAATGTGCGGACTAAGGCCACGTGACTAGTGGGGCGGTACTCCCAGAGCTCCGGGATCTCTATGGTTCTCACCGACTCGCTAGAGGACGTTTGGTCCGCTGGAGGACTCCCTACATTCTTCCTCCATTACCTCACTGCCTCCGGTGGCTGCTGGGATAGAGGAGGACTCGGGTCCCGACTCGACTCAGTCCTCCACCCGCCCCGGGAATACCTCTAGTTCTCCCCGGCCGCCGCCGCCCCGCCGCTTCCTCCTCTGCCCTCCTGCCGGCCTCCTTCGGGCGTCCTCACCCGCGTTGGGTCTCGGCTTTTCTCGGGAGCCTCCACCCAGACGCATGGCTCCATGAAGCAGGAGGAAGAGAAGGCAGAGCGCGAGAGGTCCCGTCCGCCCCGGCCGCGTCTGGGTCAGGAGAAAAGGTGGGAAATTCTAGGGGGGTTGTGCCGTTCTTTCTCTTGCCAGGCCTTCTCGAGGCCTGCTCAGCTCCGAGCGGACCGTGTCCTGGAGCTTGGGGTCCCAAGGTGCAGGGCGAGGGGTCCCGGGGCGCCGTGGGGGAGGGGCTCACGGAGGTGGACACCGCGGGTGGGCAAGGCCTCCTTGGGCTGCGTGTCCCCGCCCGGGACCGACGAGGTCGTGAGGCCGTGTTCCCAGGGGTCTGGGTGGCCGTGATCGGCCCCGGCCAAGGTGGCGAGGCAGCTGCCGTAGCCTCCGTGCCTGAACTCCCTCCAGGAAACAGTCGGAGGAAAGTTTGGTGGTCTCCTGCGCCGCCTGGTGGCCCCCTACCCAGCGTCCCCCTCCCTCCCCCGCCCGGCGTCTGGATTCCACCCCCGCGGCCCGGACCCAGTTGCTCTACCCGTCGCTCTGTCGTTCCCCCAACTTCCCCAGCGCCCTGTACTCTCCTGTCCCACATCCTCCTTTTCACCTTTTTCGTCTGCCTGTTCTACCCCTTCCGGCTCCGGTCTCTTCTTTCCCTCTTGTCTCATCCTTTTCTTGCTTCACTCTCCCACTTTTATCTCTTCTTTTTTCCCTTCCCGCTCCATTTTCCACATCTACTTGTAGCCCCCCTTGCTTACTATCATCCCTTCGTCTTTAACTTTGGGTTTTATGCTCCTCTTCGGAACTGTGTGTTTTGTCCTTCATTCCTTGCCCTCATCTGACTCCTTTTGCTCACTTATTCCATCGGGCCTATCTGCTTTCATTGCCCTCTCTTAGGATTCAGTGGGTGGGGCCTGGAGTCTGCTTTGCATAAATTCTGTAGTACTGGGGAAGTGGGGAAGGTGGAAGAGGTTGTGAAGAGATTTTTGCAAGACTGAGTAAGGATGAATGGCTCCACCAACAGTTACTGTTTCCTCCTGGCACAAGATGCCTTGTTCTCAGGGGCCTAGCATGTTGTCGGGTAATTTTTTAAGACTTGGGAGTATGTTTGTATGCTCTACCTGTGGAGAGCCTAAAGCGATAGAGAACTGGAAAGCAAGTTTTGATTGACCTCAATGTGTTGGGGGGGGGGGGTTATTTGTGTTTTAGTAAATAAAGCTTGCCTAAAGATCAGAATGCAGAATTAAACCACTAGAGGCCATGCAGTGGTGGCTCACAGCTTTAATCCTAACATTCTGAAGTACACGCCTTTAATCCCAGCACTAGGGAAGTGGAGGGGGGTGTGTGTGATGGGTGGGTAGAGAGAAGAATGTTAGGCGGGAAAAGACATAAGCTGACTGCAGTCTGGAGAGCCATCCAGTCTTGGCACTCTGAGGACAGGATGGCTCCTTAGTCTAAGCCTTGGTAAGGACTCTCTAGTGGCCTGGCTGCTTTGCTTTTCTGATCTTCAGGCAAGCTTTATCTATTAGAACACAGACAAAATATCACTATAGGGGAGCTGTGGGGGTTACTAATGTGTGTTTTATTCAAGTAGAATATAGCCTTTGATCTTCCATGGGGCTTCCATTCCTTGTCTCATATTTAGCATTAGAAATGTTTTGAAGAAAGAAGACCCTTATTCTCCATCTGGTTTTGTTTGTGTCAAAAATTTCCCTGTTAAATTGTAACTTTTTAGCCTGGTGGTGGTGGTACACCACCCAGTCATCCCAGGGACTTATCCCAGGAATCTGAAAATGTTTTCTATGGTAAAATCTCTTGACTCCTGTCGGTGTTAAATTAAGATAAGCCTGATGTAAAGCTGGTTGTGGTGTAGCACACCTTAAGTTCCAACGCTGGGGAGGTGGAGGCAGGTGGATCTCTGAGTTCCAGGCCAGCCTGGTCTACAGAATCAGAACTAGAACATCCAGGGCTACACAGAGAAACCTTGCCTCAATAAACAAACATTTTGTAACTTCTGCAAAAAACTCTGCACTTCCAGACTTTGTTCACTGACACTTGCCTTTCCATCTTAGGTATTGCAAGAAGGAATGGAATTGGAAAAAAGAAGATTCATGCCAGAGACAAAATAGCTTTCCTTTCCTATTGTAGCTGTTTCCTCTGGGACTATAAACTCTCTACATTCAGTGAGTATTACCTTGGGCATACTTGAAGTGGAATTTTTGTTGCGTTTTTTGGTTTTGGCTTGTGTCTGGATTTAAAGTGTGTAAGTGTACCTCATTCATATTTCTCTCAGATTCTGTGGGGTGGTCCTAATGTTGTTGAAAATTTTATACTTTAAAAATTACATTTACTTACTGTGTATGTGCACACGTGTGTGGATGTCATCATGCATGTGCAGAGGTCAGGGGGAGGAGTCAGTTCTCTCCATGTGGTTCTAAGTGGAGATCGAACTCAGTACTTCAGGCTTGGTGGCAAGTGCCTCTACTTTTTATTGTGTGTGTGTGTATGTTTTATTTTTTAATTTTTTTCAAGAAGGGTTTTCTCTGTGTATCTCTGGATGCCCTAAAACTCATCCTGCTTGAGTTAAGGACAGAGCCCATGTGGAGCGCCTGCCTCGCGTCCTCAGGAGCTTGTACTGTACCTCCAGTGCACAGCCCAAAAGCCATTCTCCCCTGTGAGGGAGACATGAGAGAAAATGTCTACATTTCATATATTTAAAAACTAGCTGGGAAGTGGTGACTCAGCTTTTAATCCAGCATGGGGAGGCAGAGGCAGGTGGATCTCTTAAGTTTGAGGCCAGTCTGGTCTACAGAGTGAGTTCCAGGACAGCCAGGGCTACACAGAGAAACCTGTTCGAAAAAAAGGAGAAGGAAAACAAAACAAAATTGAGGCCCCCCCCAAAAATGTAACCTTGTGCTGTAGGTCACATAGCAGGGCTATGGTTGGGGTGGGGTAGGCAGGCGCAAAAACCAAAAGTATTATCTGGGAGTTAGGGCACACATCTTTAATCCCAGCGCTCAAGAGACCGAGACACATCCGACTGCTGTTACAGAGAAACCCTGTCTTGGGAAACAAATATTAGCCCCTGTAACTCATTTTCTTTAAACTGATACAAGAATGTAGACTTTTGTTTTGGGTTTTTTTTTGTTTGTTTGGTTGATATTTATTGAGACATGATTTCACTATGTAGCCCTGGCTACCCTAGAGCTTGCTGTGTAGACCAGGCTGACCTCAAATTTAGAAATCACCTGCCTCAGCCTTTAATCCCTGCACTCAGGAGGCAGAGGCAGGCGGATCTCTGTGAGTTCAAGGCCAGCCTGGTCTACAGAGCTAGTTCCAGGACAGGCTCCAAAGCCACAGAGAAACCCTGTCTCGAAAAACCAAAAAAAAAAAAAAAAAAAGATATCACCTGCCTCTTCCAGGAGAATGCTGAGGGTAAAGGTGTGTGCCACTAAGCCCAGTGGGGTTTTATTTTCTTGTTTGTGAGACGAGTTGTGAGACGAGGTCTCTGTATAGCCTAGGCTGGCCTGCTTGTGTCAATCCTACTTTGTACTCTCCATTGCTGGGATTACAATGGAGGCATATGCCTACCTCCATCTCTGAGCATTTTGTTCTTTGTTGTTTTATCTGAAATAGTTTTAAATAGATAGTAAAAGTAATTGCATTGGTTTGTATTTTGTGAGGAACCTGTTAATGTATCATATACTCTGTATCTATATGGCAGTTGCGTTCTTTTACCCGGGAAGTTGAGATAGTTTCATGGAAGCCATACTGGCCTCAGACTCCCTGTGTGGTTGTGCGTGTACAGGAACAATCCTGTCTCTTGCCTCTCCTGAGTTTTGGGATAATAGGCATATACTACCACTTTCACACTTGACTATTTTAAAAACAGAAATAATTGTTTTTATTATCTCCCATCTGACTCTTTCCTGGAACAACACCATAAATAGGCCTGGGTATCAGCTCAGGCACTACACCAGTACTCAGAATAAAATTATTACATTGAATTTCACTTCACCTCTTCAGTGTCTCAAGAAAACCACAGCCTGTTCCCATCTGAGGAAGGCTCATTTGAAGGCACATCTGGACATTAAATAGAAACAGCTTTTGCCCACCTTCCAATTTTTTATAAGGTCATGTCCTCTGAGAAGCTATTGTAAGGATTGCCTTCAGAGATAAATAGAAGTTTTTATACTTCTAGGCATTTAACTATTATTGCTATTTGAAATGGGACCCTTTAACAAAATCTCTAGCATTCCATATATATCTGGTTGTTTGTGATAATAACATACTTAACAAATAGTTTTTTTTTAATGTTCTGAATGCTTTAATTATTTAAAGCATTAAACAATTAATGTTTTAATGTTTTGGTGTGTTTCTACAAAGTTACATAAGTAAAATAATCTCAGTATTCATTCTTTTGTTTTTTGGAGGGGGGCACAGTATCTTTGTCGGCATTGGCTGGTGTGTATCTCTATGTAAATCAGGCCAGTAGAGATCTTTCTGCCTCTTCCTCCTTAGTGCTAGGATTAAATGGCTTCATTGTTTCTGAGTCAGGGTCTCACTTTGTAACTCTTGACTGGCTTTCAAGTTCTTTCTGCTTCTTCCTTAGTGCTGGAAGGCCTCCAGTGTTCTTCATGGTTTCTGCCATCATAGAATGAAAACCATGAATGATTTATTAGAGGCCATTACTTTATCAAGGTCTTTTAGACTATAGGGAATCTGTTATAGCATTGTATTAATAGTAGTTAATGTGCCTGAGGACTGCCAGGTTCCTTTCATGCCTTCCTATCAAATAGCCCTATGTGAGTGACTAGGTGTGGTGGCACACAACTTTAATCCCTGCACTCGGAGAACAGAGGAAGGGAGGCTCTCTTGAGTTCAAGACCAAATCTGATGGCATCCTACATAAAAGGACTTGAAAGAAGGAAGCTTTTGCTTTTTGCCTGTTTGTCCCATTTTCACCAGCAAGTTTCCTATCCATTTGCTGAGGCATTCCTTCCTGGCATTTGAATCCACTTCTGGATTCCAATATAGACTGAACACCAACAGTTCTCAAGGAATTCCCCAGAACCCTATAACAGATTGAGACTGCTGAGATCCAGTCTCATAGACTGAATGATCAAATTTTTGGTCCTTCTGTTAAGACATTGTTGGACTACCCAGACCAAAGCCTATAATCTACTCTATTCAATTATATATATGTATGCTGGCCTCAAATTCAGATCTGCCTCCCTCTTCATCGTGAGTGCTGGGAGTAAAGGTGTGTGCCACCATGCCAGCCATTGAGAATAATCTATAGTGAGTTCCAAGACAGGGCTATGTGGAGAGACCTGTCTAAACAAACAAACAAATAGCCCAGTGTTGTGGCAGCTTTCACAAAAATGTTAACGCTTGCCTGAGTTTGCAGTCAGACTTTGGACTTCAGAGTTGGAATTTGAGCCAGAGTTGGCAGCTAGATTGTTATCTCAAAGCCAAAGTTCTGTCCTTAGAAGGTGGGGGCATCTCTGGTTGTCTTTGAAATGGGCTTTGGAAAGAGACCCACGGAGAAGGAAGGCTATTTTGCTTGACCAGCTGTGTCAGTTATGGCGGCCTCATGTTCTTTTTTGTTTTTTTGTTTTTTTTTTTTATCTTTCAATTTCTGGTTTATGACACCAATATTTGGCTTTCTGTGTTCTACTCATCTGTATATATACAATAGGTCTGTGGAGTCTAGGAGATGGTGTCAGATCCTCTTGGAACTGGATGGAGTTACAGGCAGTTGTAAGCTGCCCGATGTGGGTTCTGGGAACAGAACACAGAACCCAGGTCCTTTGCAAGAGCAACAAGTGCTCTTAAACACCAGCCTCATGTTCTTGTCCTTATACTGGCCTTGATACTAAATTATGAACATTGGCAATCTATGAGAAATTATATTAATTCCTGCAACCATAAATTGCCACCCAGGCAGACAAATAACACTGTAATGGATCACTAAAAGCCCCATGGTCATTTAAAACATTTTATTTCTGGTTGTTTGTATTTGAGATGGATTTCTATGTGTTGCTCGGGCTATCCTGGAACTCATCTGTAAACCAGGTTGTCCACTTGAAGAGATCCAATTTCCTCTGCCTCCTAATGCTGTGATTAAAGGCGCATGCCACCATACTCAGCTTTACATCGGGCTTATTTTAATTTAATACAAATAAGTGCCAAGAAACTTTACCTCTGAAAACATCTTTAGATTACTAGGACTAAAGACATGCTATCACTGCAAGGCCAGACCTGTATTCTTTTGTTTGGTTTTGTTCTTTAGTTTTGTTGTTTTGAGACAGAGTTTCTCTCTGTATCCTTGGCTGTCCTAGAACTAGCTTTGTAGACCAGGCTGGCTCCAAAGTCACAGAGATCTGCCGCCTCTGCCTCCTGAGTGCTGGGATTAAAGGTGTGTGCTACTATGCCTGCCTGGACCTGTGTTCTTAATTGCTGGGCCATCTTTGCAGCCCCTGTTGAGGAGGATTTTTGAGGCAAGACCAATGGAGTACGGGAACTAAAGGCATGTGCCATCAATGCCCAGCTAAAGCATTTTTTAAAGTCCAGTTGTAAAATCTGCTCAAAGTAAGCCTTTGAGTCATCTCATGTTAGCTGAGTGCTGTGGACAAGTTCAGGACAAAGTAGTCACTGCTATATAGTGGGTGTGACAGTTTTCAAGATAAATTGAACCAAGGTGAGAATTTATGTGATAATTAAAGTATCCAAATGATGCCCTTTTTTGTTTGTCTGTGTAAGCATTGCAGGTATGAGCATGTGTAGTGTCAGGAGATGTGATCTTTGAAGCTATGCTGGCAGGCTAGCAAGTTCTGCTTGTTTCCATGTCCCCACCTATACTGGGGTTACAGGGGGCTGGAGAGATGGCTCAGTGGTTAAGAGCACTGTCTGCTCTTCCAGAGATCCTGAGTTCAATTCCCAGCAACCACATGGTGGCTCCAAACCATCTGTAAAGAGATCTGGCGCCCTCTGGCGTGTGGAGGCAGAAAGTTGTATACATAATAAATAAATCTTTAAAAAAAAAAATTATTTATACTGGGGTTACAGGCACCCCACCACTATACTCAGAGTGTGTGTGTGTTTTCTTTTGTTGTTGTTTTTTTTTTGTTTTTTGTTTTTTTGTTTTTTTTTTTTTTGAGACAGGGTTTCTCTGTAGTTT